GCAATTAATGTAGAAAGATGATAGTTAGTGAGATAAATAATCATATCATGAAATAGTTTAACTCTTCAAATTTTAGGAAGACGAGTATCAAATTTTATCTCCGAAAAAATAAAGAGTGTTGCAAATACAATAGATGACCCATTCCCCATTTTGTACAATTTTATTGAAAAACTACCCTACTAATTCAGTCATAGTTCATAAGATGGCATCTCACCTCAAATCATTAAAAAAAAAAGGTGAGAAAACATTTCTATTTATTAGAAGGGGGGATTTACATACATATCACTTTATTTCATGCTATTTACATATTTAGCATCTAAAACTTTAATATTATATGTCTACCACCTATAGAATAAATATGGCTGCATGTAATGAAATATTAAAGTTTATAGGGTGGTATGGATGGTAAGAATGAAATATATGAGTGATATATTTGATATTAGAATTTTATATGAGTGATAAGACTGTAATATTAGGTGTTAGATATATAAATAGTATAAAATAAAGTGGTATGTATGTAAATCCCTCTTAAAAGAATTACTTTTAGATAAGTTTAATATAAAATTTTGATGTAATTTATTATGCTTCTCTCTCTCTCTCTCTCTCTCTCTCTCTCTCTCCCAACACAAACATTTTGTATAGAAATGTGTTTAGGATAATTTAGTATTTATCATTTGTAGCATTGGTACATTGTTCCACCACAAAGAAAAATCTTAATAATTTGAGGGCATCCGTGCCTCCCGTGAGAAGCAGTATTCGAGTCGCTTGACATGCCCAAAAAAAATCTTAATAATTTGATAGTTGAATTGACATAAAAAAATAATTGTGTAATATAAAGTTGCATGGATCATTAAAATGTTTCTTTCTCATTTCTATCTATCTCTTTCATTGTGTCATAGATTAAAAACTTTCAACAATGCATTTCCTTAATTATCGACATATTCGAATCATGTAGCCTTCATCATTTTGTTGAGCTTTTAGTGAAGATAAAATTAAATGTAATGGGATTAAAATTAGATTAAGTAAATTAATGATTAAGCTTTTTTAACTCAAAAAATTAATTTTTTGTTAAGAAGAAACCACATTAGTATATTCTTAGCAATGTGATGAATAATTAAACTTACATTTTATTTGGGACAACTTTTTTATTGATTTCTACAGCATTGTTTTAATATAAAATTTTATAGTTCAATAAATTTTAGTACTAGAAAGCTACTTTAGAAAGTAGTAATAAAGCTATCCCAAACAAAACCTTAGTATTTAAGTGTATTAATAATCTTTTCTTCTTATGATAATTTATACATTGATTATCATTCTCTCTCAAATATAAATTTGTAATGTTTTATATGTAAGAGAAGAATACTAAACTAATAGGCCTCGACTATTTGATATTTATAGTTATAAATATTCAACTTCTACACTTCAATAATAAATTATTTTATGTGTGCTCATATAAAATCATTTGGGTTTGTCACTAATAACATAGGAGCCATGAATTGCACATCATCTTACCTAAATCATAGATATTTATATATCAATAGAAAATATATCAAATTTATTATGAATCTTAATGCATATTTTAATTAGGAACTTATAGTACTAAATTCAAGATCATCCAAAATCTAATTTCAATTTACTTATATTAAAAATAGATATTTAGATGAGATAATTTCAAAAATAAAAAAATACTGGAAGTGTTTATGAGTTTAAATCAGTTGTTAAGGAGTTATGAATTTTTTAATCTTGTTGCTCACAGTAAAAAAATTATCTCTATTTTGAACTTTGGCTAGAATATTTTTTGGGTTCTAAAATATTTGAGACTTTAGGGAGTTATACGGGCTGGGCCGCTGGGGGAATATTTGGGAGAATTTTGAAGAGGTTAAAACAATCTTAGGATGAGAGAGGTTATGATTTCAGGATGGCCAAGACTAGTTCAAAGGAGAGCAAAAGTTTGCGAGATGAGCTCATCAAAGCTTGGGGATTAACCACTAGCTCCAAAGATTAGAGTATACACCTAGCCTCTTCACGTAAAATTTGTAGGGTTAAAAAATAATTTTTATTCAATGAAATCAAAATTATAAATTAAGAATCTAATTATAAGTTTTTTCAAGCTTAGCTAAGTTTAAAAAAGCTTTAGGAGCAATTAATTGCACTTAATCGATGCTTTTTTTTTTATACAAAAGAAAGGAAAAATAAATAAATTATAAAGTTTAAAGATTCCATAAATAATAAAATTTTACCAAGCCAAATGAGGCAAGTTGAATGGCCTTGAAACCAAATAATCATTGAAAAACTTCATGTTCTTCATTATTATGGTCAACCCATCCATCAAATGACCTCAAATTAAGCATCTAATTATTCGCCATTGATTTTGAAAGGAAGAGAGGTTAGTTGTGTACTTTCTTAAATATTTGTGCATGTTGAAATATTAATCTGAACGTATTGACATGGTTTATGATCTTATCATTAGTGTTTATATTGGTGCTACTTAAACTCCATCTAACCTTAAGGAACTTTGATCTATAGATTAAAAGTCTAGGTATTTCTCCATTGATTTAAGGTTAAGCTTATCCATTTCTACTTTTTCATATAACTCCTTTAATAGTTTCCAATAGCACTCATAAACTCATAAATCTCGCTAAGCCCATGCCTAGAAGCACCAATGATATTATTTTATGTAAATATCATAAAAATGACCACATGTAGAGCTAGACAAATTCAAAATGCTATTCTAGAGAAAATTCAATCTTTTGAACATGAAAATTATGATAAATTTTTGGTTGATGAATGGTGTGGCCATCAAAAGTTTAGTCCTTGATGGCTTTCTATTTTTTTTGGCCCTAAAAGGCTCTTAAAATGTGTCAGAGATGATAAGTAAGTCTTGGGAAGGGTTAAAATTGAGTAGTGTTTAAGTGTCATGCAATGAGAAGGTGATATGCATGGGTGCTATAATTATTATGAATTATTTTTTATTATTATTGTGAATTATATGAAATGGCACTTAGGCTCTTAGGGTTTCAATTGGGGGTCATTCTAGGACTTTAAAATACTTGGAAATGTAAGAGAAATATCTTAAGATTTTTTTTTTTTTTTTTTTTTTTGAGATTTTCATCACATTTTAAAGAGTATTGATGGGTGAGGGGCTATAATCTAATTAAGTAAGATTCACCTAATTTTGAATAACATCTTTAGGAAGAGTTATATGATGGGATTTTGTTAGCTGAATGTTAGGAAATGAAAATGAGCTGGTGAGGAGATGATAATAAAATAGTTCAATGATAAAAAAAAAAATTAAAGTCAAATGAAAATATACTTGCTACTCACCGAAGTAGCAATGTTGAAGAGATTATCAATCCACTTCAAGTGAAGGTTGACCCCCAAGCCTCCCCTTTTTGGAAGGAATTCCAATTTTTGCAAACACAATAATAAATATTTCTTCTTTAGTCTATTATACTTAGATAGTTACAACATTATATGTAAAATGAACATAAAGGAGAGAGTGAGGAGTAAGCTACTCTAATGTACGATAGAGAGTGTAACTACCCACAACTAGCCCCTTCATCTTGCCTTGCCCATCCAACTAAGTATGGGCCCATGTTTATTTGACTTTATTTGGTCAATCAAATATGCATACATAAGGAAGTAATTTGCAAGATGAGGTAGAGTTCATATCTCTTGCAAGATATGCTCTCCACTTTTTTAACACCTCTGAAGATAAGTGTTATCATTTCATATGGGTTCCATTTCACATCCAAGAATTCTCTGACCTCGTGGAGAGAGTTAGACTGATGGTTAATGATCTGATATCCACCCAGCAGAGGTGGGATGTTAGCAGAAAGATATTTGGTAGAGAGTCCTTTAGGAGTACATTCAGTGGAAATAATTCAGGTTAGCTATTGATGATTCTAAAAGGGGAGGATCTACAGTGTCTGGGAGAAACGGAGGATCTATGTCCATTAGTAGCACACATGTTTATGGGTTAAATAAAAGACAACATACATGCTCGTATTTTTTGTATATGGTTTAGTATTTCATGTGTGGCTAGTTTGGTCACAATGTGACATAGTGTCTACAAAGAGTGCTAGATAGTAGGCTTAAAGCCAAGGGTAGTCAGAGTTTGAGGCAACAATCATCCCCTTCTAAAGTAGTCAATGAGGCTTTATCGACCGTAGTTGAGGTAGACTTTGGGGAAGGCAAACAACAATATCAACAAGAGGAGTTTAGCGAAAGTCAATTACAATTGTCAGTTCAGCCCCAGTGTAGCTCAAAGTGCCAGCTTGACTTAGTAGGAGACAAAGGAGGCAATGGATGTACTTACATATATGACAATTATATCTCTGTTGGTGTTTGAGTTATTAATTATAGGTTTAGGCCGTTTAATCCTTCCATTAGATCATAGGGTATTATGTTCGCCTCCTTCATAATGATTTTCATCCGCTTAAGAAAAATAACCACAATATTATAGTAAATAAAACTTATAAGTACGTGTATGGGCAGGCCACCTGCACGTGCCAATACGTCATTAAAATATTCTAAAGCATCCATGATTATAGTATCATATTTACACTCACTATCATTTATTAACGACCACTTTATGTGTTTTTTTTTATATTTCTTATATCAATCATACATTGATTGAATATTTGGATATCATCATTATTACCGGTGATGTATATCTTTAAGCCCTCACATAGGAGACCAAGACATTGATGTTTACTTCCATCTATCTAATAAATTATACTTGCTTTAGAATATTCCAATATCTAATTTACTGGCAGTATGAAATGACTAAGAAATTTAGAGTTATATTATTAATGATCATATCATACACACATTAGGGTAAATTTCACCTTATTAGAAGAGAACATTTAGAACCCTAAAAATTGTTAATATATAATAGACCAACTATTTAATTTAAATTGGGGCATTGTGATAAGTTATCTATTAAATAGCGATTTGTATGGAATGATGGAGGATCTATTAACTAACTAACTAATCAGCCCTAATCCTCTTCCCCTTACCCTGATACAATGAATACAAATCCATCGGCGTTCGGCACACGTAGCGGTACCGTCCCCTCCTCTTCTCACGTCAATACGCCCTACCTCCCTCTCTAGAATTATCCCCCCGCCTGAAATTTAGAACGGCAACAGCAAAACCAGAACTCCAATGCCTTCTCCATCGCTAACCGATAGCCCGATATAACCTTCCTTCGGCGCCACGACCAACGAAATGTCAGGCAATCAGAGCGTGCGCGGATTCACTGAAACAACGCACGTCCTGTATAAAATGGCGGTTTCCCCATATTTACGCTCCAGGTACGCACTCCCCTCAACGCCAACCCCGTTTTCTTCTTCTTTTTGAAGAGCGCTTCGTCAGGCTCCTTCCCTCCATTTCTTCCACCATTTATTTATCCCCTTCGGATCTTTCGCTATTATTTCTGTTATCAGATTGACAGGGCTCAGGAAGGCTGTGTTCTTGAAGTTCTTCGGATGTGGCAGAATCCTGAGCATCAGACTGGAAACTCTGTTCCTTCGATGCGCCAGCAGGCTCAAATCAATAATGGCGATCAGCAGCCGACGGCGACCGCCCGGGCTGCTTACAATGTCTCTGGCTCTGGAAGAGGGAGTCAGAATGTTCCCTTGTCTTCCAGGGCAGCTGCGCCAGTAATCCAACCTCAGCAAACCGTTTTACCTAATCTAGCGTTTGCGGCTATGCCGGTTACCTCTACGGTTGGATTGCCTATGCCCATTGATCAGAGGATCCGGGTGTTCGAATCTACTGGGGCGTGTACCAGCAGCGTCCCGCCAAGAGGGGTTTCCTCGCAGCCTGGCTGTTCTTTATCGCAGGAGTTTCTTTCGCATATCAGAGATCAGAACATCGAAATTGATTCTCTGTTAAATCATTACGTATGTAGATTTGAACCCTCATACCTTTCGTTATTATTCTAATCTGTTCTTGGATTGTAATTTTTTTTTTTTTAAATTTTCGTTGTTTCAATTATGAAATAGAGAAATATGATTCGTAAGGGAATTGAGGAGACGCAAAAGAGGTACTTTAGTTCGCTTATTGTTATCTTGGAGAAGATTGCGTTGAAGCGGGTCCTGGATAAGGATGCCGAGCTGGCGAACGTGAATCGGAGAAATTCTGAGCTGGAGGAAAAGATCTTCCAGTTGTGCTCCGAGAACCAGATGTTGTTTAGTCGTGCCAGTCAAAATGAGGCATTAGTCTCCAGGCTCAAGGCAACGCTCGAACAAGTTTTAATCCAGACAACCGCTGCGGAGACGGCGCCTCCGCCGGAGGTTGAGGGTTACGGCGATACCGATGGGATGCCATTTCCTGCTAATGACGAGCAGTCCTGCTTAAAGATCGAGGAAGAGAAGCCGGAGAGCAGCGAGAAAGTTCGCGCACGGATGGTTTGCAAGGTTTGCCAGTTGTATGAAATGTCCATTCTCCTTCTTCCTTGCCGCCATATTTGCTTGTGCCTGGAATGTGAAAAGACGGTTGTCATATGTCCCATCTGCAATAGCTCGAAGGAAGGCGCCGTCCAGATCTTCATGCCTTAAGTCCTTGTCAAGATGAGATCAATCTCTTTTCTGTCTCTCTATTTTGGTTAATCTCGGGGAACAATTTCAGATATATAGAACTACCATTTCTTGAATTTTTTTTTTCGTTCATTTCATAGGTTGAATCTGTATACAAACAGAACCTTTTCTTGCCGTTTAATCGCATGCCGAAAACCTTGATAGGACTGATATATTTTTTTTCCTTATGATTTTGTGCTAAATCTTTGTATATAGAGTCGGTGCAAGACAGATTTTTTTTTCTCCTTTTTTTTAACTGCATATTATGAGGAAATTTTGACTTCATATGACACTTTAAGACACTAATTAGTGAAATACTTATACTGTTTATTTGTTTAAAAATTATATCTAAAAATTCATTTCGATTGAGATGATCATATCCAGTGATGGATAATCACTTCTATTTGCAGATCATTTTTTGAAACTAATGCATGTAAAATTTGTTCCAACATGTTTGAATTCCAATATGATTTTATCCTAGATTCAAGCTTGATTCAAATTCAAAATTTAAATAAGATTTGAACCTATGTTCGAACAAGGTTGGAATCTCATTTGAACCATAGTTCAAATTGATTTGCTTGAGGCATATTATCATAAACATTGATTCTCCTGCACACACTGTTGGATCCATCTATGTTGATTCCCATTCATCACAAACTCCTCTTCACACCTTGCCTTGTCTTGATGATGACACTCTTCGCATTTACACATTGTCAAATTCCACTTAATTTATTTGGCATAATCTATTTCTCCTGCATTTATAGAAGCTTCAAATTTATTTGATTTCTTTTCTTTTCTTTTCCTTTGTATCAGAACAAATCATTAGTTCATGTAATAATAATCTATTTGCTCCTAAGACTTTCCAAAATTAACTAAGCTTAGAAAGAGCCTATAAATATATATTTGCTTATACTCTTACATTCATGGAATAAAAATAGCTTTTGCTTGTGTGCATTTCAAGTGAAAAGGTTTGATAGTTGTTCTACCTTTGGTGATGCTTGGTGATTGATTTGCCAGGGTTTTAGTAGTCCTTAATCATCTTTTCTCACTCATATTCTGCCTATTTTTCAAAATAATATTATTCTCCTCTACATAATTTAAATCGTAGCCTCTCTCAATTCTAAGATATACCTAAAACTCTCCTACAGATTTCCCCATATCCCTCATAATTTCTCAAGGATTCGACTACTTGATAACAAAAAGATATCTTAGCCAAAAGTTCAATATAGAGATATCCTTTCTATTATGAGCAAACAAATTAAAAATGTCAAAACTTCTTAACCACTAATTCAAAACTTATAAAACTTCACCACTTGTTCTCTAATATCTCAAATCTTTAAAACCTGGAGCATGAATTTTCTTATTTTGTATTCTATTCTGTATTGGAGAATTTTCAAAGGATTCCTTCATGTAGACATTTTGTTGCAATGCATTATTTTGATTTGTAAATGTTGAAAATATGTATTTAGATGAATTCATTAGTTGCCATTGAGCTTATCAAAAATCATTAAATTGGCAATGCTAAGTATTTTTACATGTTTTAGGTTGATATTACATGCATTTTATTTCATTGCATTATAAGAATTTGTTGGCTTGAAGCATTTCAGTTGGTATATATGTGGATTCATCCATTGAATGTTATAGTTATGATGGCTTATAGCATTGCAGGTCGATTATCTTTATGCTGGATTGAGGCATTACAGGTTGGTTACCATTATACTGGCTTGTGCTTACATTGCTCAAGTTAATTTCATTGAGCTGAAGGGGTTTATCCAGTAATGATAGTACTTACTATGGGTTCTTGGATTCTTGTGGCCTGTTAACTATGCTTGTCCATGTTTGTCAAAGCTTTCTAACTAAATTGTTAGGCGATTGATCTGTGTCTTTGGATTTATTTCCTTTATGGATAGATGTTCTACTGCTGATCTTGGAAGTTTCTGTTGGCTCGTTTTGTCTATAACACACTACTGGGCTGTTGTATTTCCTTTTTTGAAACTCTATTACGATAAGGCTTCGAATAGTAGTTAGTTGTGGCTTAGCTCTATTTTAAACTAATTATTTCCCATTAGTCTGTTTGAGTTTTGGTAGCTGCAGTTTATTTGTTGTGTCAGTTATCCAACTCTTGTTTGAAAAATGATAAATTGTGGTCTTGGAATAAGTTTGTAGGACTTTTAGATGTTCTTTCAACTTGAAAGTTAGGCTTTGTTTGGGACGGTTTTTTTGTTGCTTCTTAAAGTAGTTTTTTAGTACAAAAATTAAAATTTTTATACTAGAAAGTTTCTTTAAGAAGCTACAACAAAGTTGTCTCAAACGAAGCCTTAGGCTTCGTTTGGGACGGCTTTCTTACCGCTTCTTAAAGCAGCTTTCTAGTTCAAAATATTTAATTTTTGAACTAGAAAGCTACTTTAAGAAGCGGTAAGAAAGCCGTCCCAAATGAAGCCTTAGTCTACATTTTACATTAAAGCTTATTGCATTAGTGTTGATGGGTTATTTTGATAAGAATTATTGAATCATGGTTGTTGTAACATCAAACAGAGATTGGTTGGGAGTTTAAGCTTCCAACCAAGATGTTTGAAATTCAAGGCTTTGTATATATGAGGTTATATGAGTTTACTATTTTATTCAATAATTTGTTGTTGTTGTTGTTGTTGTTGTTTAAGAGAGTATCTATAATTTTATCAATATGCACATTAGAAAGAAAAGAAAAACTCTTAAATATGAAAGAAATGACACATTTTTTGCCATAGTTTCTACAAAAAGTTCAACTAGAGATATATGGTCATCCCTTCCAAGTCCAAGTTTCCTGAAAAGGTTAAAAATTAAGAGTTATAAATGATCCTTGATTGATACAACATACAATCATGCTTGTTGCAACAACCATAACTTCTTCAGCAAACTTGCATGCAACCATGTGCTGTCCCTTTCATTAAGATCATCTTCCTTTTTCCTACAAAATCCTAGTGTCATCATCTCCTTGACAATCTGATTATGTAGTAATTTGAGAATACCATGGCATTTTACTCTCAATCATATGCATCAAAATGTAATACTATATTCATTCTTTTAAAGTATGACTTGTAATAGTTAAGAGATCATTCAAATACATTGATATATCTTTTAACTCGTAACTACAAAAGAATAAAACAAAATATAGAATAAAATAAAACTTAGAAATACTAATCAGCCTCACTTTGTAGGATCCTTACATTTTTCCAGACTTGAAATCAAAATGATATAATGAGTTTATTAAATCAAGCAAGCAATTAAAACCTATCACTGTATTTAATGTAAGACAACATAATCAATACGACTGTCCAATCCAAATCAATATCAATTATTATATAATAAACATAAATAGAAATTAATTTATGTAATCAATATCAATCATGAGTATAAACCAATTTAATTATTAAAATTAGAGTATTTCAATAAGCAAAAGAAGTCCATCAATCTATAAGAGAATTAATAAAAAAATATATGAATTAATAAAAGGTGTTGTATAATAAAACAAGTCTCAATTTTCTATCAGTTATATTCATTTTGATGATTTTATTATATGCTTTTATTAATCGTTATATCTCATATCAGTGTATCATATCATTATGCCATATCAGTATGTTATATCAATATGTTCATCAATGTCTATCAATATCCTTGTCACATGTTATGTCATGTTATATCAATCTTAATGTTGGCTATATCGATTCTATATCAATTATATATGTCAATCAATTCTTATGCTCTCATATAAATACATGGAAATATGAATACAATTATGAATAGTATAGCATAACATCCAGCTTGTTACATTGTTCTTTTCTATATCTTGTATTAGTATCAAGTGTCAGGCGTCAAGTGGATATCTTATAAGAGTCATTATTCCTGCATGTCGACATATCTTGTCCCATTATGACTCTTTATCTTGTATCTTGTAATCTAATATCTTGTATTATGATTGCATCACAACTCATAACTTAAAGGAATGTTTATTGGCCGCCCTCCTAGACAATATCTTGCTCTAATCAACCTATATTATTTTACAACTAGCCATCCTTTCTTGTAATAAGGCCACATTTATTTTATATCAGCCATATTATTTTCTATAAAAATTCAATATCATGCATAAAATACAATTAATTAATAAAACGTAGCAAAATTTATACACTATTTATTAACATCATAAAATTATAACTAATAATTTATAAATTGAAATTCAATAATATTACAATCAAAATACTCATATAAATCATATCTATCATATAAAAAAAATTACAAATTAAAAAGTTTAATAAATTAGGAGAAAATAAATTTTTATCAATTTGGGGTAGATTAGATTCATCAAATGCAAAACCGTGGAAAATAAAGGTAGGATTTGAATAGCTACTGCATAAAATACAATTAATTAATGAAACACGTGAAAATTTATACACTATTTATTAACTTCATAAAATCATAACTAATAATTTATTAGGTGAAATTCGATAATATTACAGTCAAAATACTCATATAAATCATATCTATCTTATAGAAAAAGTTTTAATTTGATAAATTAGGAGAAAATAAATTTTAATCAATTTGGGGGAGATTAGATTCATCAAATACAAAATCATTGAAAATAAAGGTAGGATTTGGATTAACTACCATGACTAGAAGAAATCTTAGAACAGAATTGACGGACAAAAATGACCAAAATGATCATCCCTTTCTTCTCACTCTCATCCTTCTCGCCTCTTCCTCTTATCATCTCTTCCTTTCCTTACATGGCAAGCTAAGTAACATGGAAGAGAGGATGGATGAGCAGGAAATTTATATTTTAAAAAATAGTTTTTAGTACCCAGCATCGCAGTGCTTCCAATTTGGCGTCACAAAGATGAATGTCACTCTCAGAGTTAATATAGAATAAAGAAATTTAGCTCCGCGACAGTGCTTTCCTAGCTCTTTCTAGAGCCACAGTGCTTGTAACATAGCATCACAGCATTACAACCCAAATTTTTTAGATTTTTATTTAAAATCTATTTTCATAAATTTCAAGTTATTAAAATATATCCACCTTGAAAAAGAAAAACACGCTCGACATTAACACTATCGATATCAAAGTAAATGAATAATAAAATAGAGTCAATATAAAACAAAATCAAACCAATTCAAAACCAAATCAATTTATTAAGTAAATCAATTTGATTCAAAAATAAATTGATATGATAGTAATTCTATTATAGATAAAATCTAAACAACTATTA